ACAAGTGAAATCAAAGCATCGCTCTGTTCTTACTGACACACATGTAAAACAGTTACTACGAGTAGCCACAACTGAATACAAGCCAGACCTAAAAAGGATTGTGGAAACCAAGGACTGTCAGGTGTCCCACTGAGTCAAATAAAAGGAGGTAGGCTGAATAAAATCCATGAAAACAATTCTGTTATGTAATTAAGTGTATAATTTGTGATACTGTTGTTTGCACATCTGTTGTGTGGCTCTTTGCAGCGATAAAGATTTTTTTTTGGCTCATTATGGCAAACAGGTTCGCCACCCCTGATCTATAAGCAGTTAGCCAACAAACACGTTAGCCGTATGCTATCATTAATGTAGTGGATAGGCACAGTGGCTAATAATAAAATAATATAGTTAATGTGGGAACAATGCAAAAATGTAAAACAAAAATGTGTCCTGTAAAATTGTATAAAATGTGGTAAACACCCAATCATACTTTAAAAAAAAATACCTCCACATACCGTGAAACCGATATAACTTTGAGAAATACCGTGATATAAATTTTTGGTCATACCGCCCAGCTCTACTACAGCCTCTATGTACAGAACAAAACTCAGACATAAGGCCATTTGTATTAACAGTTGCGACTGGGTTGGAATAGAGTGTTTTAACTATATGGATGAAATTTGGGCCAAGACCAATTTTTTCTAATACTGCAAATAAAAAAAGGCCATTCTACATGATCAAATGCTTTTTCAGCATCTAATGAAACTATTAAAGCTGGGCTTTTGTGAGTATTAAGGTATTGAATTACATTGAGTGCTCGACGTACATTATCAGTACCGTATCTTGACCTCACAAAACCAGTTTGGTCTGGCTTAATTATGTTAGGAAGCAAAGTCTCCAGTCTACGGGTTAATACTTTTGTAACTATTGTATAGTCTACATGGGATTTTTATCTTTCTTTAATAATAAACTTACTGACGCATATTTTCCAAGAGTCTGATATATCGGAGCTATAAAGAGATTGATAGAAATCTCTAAATATTTTATTAATGGTCAATGGGTCGTAAGATATATCCCCTTGAGGTGTCTTTATCATAGTAATGGAACTACTCCTGCTCTGATTCCTAAGCTGGTAGACAAGTAGGCGGCTAGATTGGTTACCAAATTCATAATATTTTTGTCTGAAAAAAAAGTTATAATTACTGGGTATGGCGAGTATGGTCCAAATTTAGTTTAGTCCTAGCATTTATTAATAATTTGAAACTTGCTGTAGTAGGTAATTGTTTATGCAGTTGTACAAACCTCTTTACTTCGTTTTCAAGAGCTTTCCTATTACTTTCCAAAACTTTTTTCTGATACGAAATACAAGAAATAAGATGGCCACGTAGAGTGGCCTTAACTGCATCCCATATGGTTACTGGAGAATATTGATTATCAAGCCAAAACTGAAGTAGATTTTCACAGATATTTGAACATCTATATGTTGAGAAGCATAAAACAAGCTTGAACAGGCAAATCGCAAATTTAGGTGAATCACAATTACAGTAGGTGCATACACGTTCAACATTGTTATTGACTACATATATTGACTAAAGATTGAGCCAGTAATCAAAATAAATCTTCCTTCTGGATCTTTCTCTTCCTTTTACAGAACAAAGGGGAAGTTTTTATGTATAAGAATGGCTGTGCCCTTCTTGTTTTGTTTATGCGAAGAAAAGTAAATTTGGCCAACCCAATCTCTTTTAAGCTTTAAATGTTCAACATTTGATAACCTAGTTTCCTGGGGAAATGCTATAGCTATCTTTTGCTTTTTCAGATTAGTTAAAATCTTTTTCCTTTTTATTACATTATCAATCCCCTAAAACAAGAAGAGCATTTTTTTCTTAATGGCTTAATAACCTCATGTGGGATCCCCATATGATCAGCTGTTTCTGGTTGTTGTCATTAGTCCTCTATATTAAGTTTCAGTTTGTTTCCCCAGTCCGGTCATTGGGTGTGTTCGACTTGTTTACAGCGCTGGCTTAAAGCAACTCATTCTGATCCTGATGCAATGCATTACGGTTAGATGCATTGCGACCTCTCACCCGGCTGCACAAACTGGAACCGTCTCCGTAACGACACACCTTTGCCCTTATTGGCTGAAGAGTTTAGTTACACGCATGACGTTTGTATCCCAGGCAGTTTTGATGCATAATCTGCTATTTCTCCCGAATATCACGTAAAGCAGTGAGAACTGGTTTTCAGTTAATTTACCTGGTAAAATAAATGCTCTAATAGTACACGTAAGTTAGTGGTTTATTTATTGTTTACTGTAATGTTGCGCTGCTTTATTTGGTTAATCGTCCAGTCTGTGAAGAAGGCATTCAAGTAAGAATTGCATTGTAGTATGACTCATTTCCTGGCACGTACAATTTATATTAGGTCAGCGTTCACGGTTCAACTTCTGATATTCAAATCGAGTTCTAGGTCAAACTGGTTTGTTTGGCTTTCAAGAAATTCGAGTTCTAGTGAGTTTGAGAACCGAGGAACCATTGTACCTCCAAATATTCACAATAAAATCAAACATTGAGTGTGTAAAATCAAGTTGACCTTGTTCCCAAATAACAGGGTAGTAAAAACCCAAATGACATCACCTAAACACTTAAACAGGAACTCTTCTAACAAAGTAGGACAACCCACAACTACAATCTGGTTGCCCGAGGTCGATCCAACTCTGTGAGCAAAATAGCCACTTTTCTTTTCTTTTGTCCCAAAAATAAACTATACAATAAATGTAATAGTGCAGAAAAATAGTAAGTAACGAGCCATTAGGGCACAATGCAAACACAGCGTTCTCCATATCAACTTACGAAAGCAAACGAGGCAAGTCACTTAATCGTTTCTAGAAAAGCCGCTGCAGATTCGGGAGTGTCAAAAAGACGGATCCGACCATCATGAAGGCACCTGAGACGTGCAGGGTAGGCCAAGCCCTGGTAGATGTTCATACGAATCATCGCCTTACCCACGCTGTCGAAATCGTTTTTCCTCCCTACAACACCTGCAGACAGATCTGGGAAGAAACGAAGTTTAGATCCTACATGAACGATGTCATGCTTTTTCAGCGCTGCTCTAAGAACGGCCTCTCGAGTGAAACGTACAAAGCGCACAATGATCCTACATGGTGGCCGATTCGGAGTCGGTGTGGGAGCCAGGATTCGATGTGCTTGTTCGATTTCAAGCAGGGGGAACTATGCCAGGAGTCCGACCCAGGTCGGAATCATTGATTTAAGAAATTCCACGAGAGGCGTAGTACTTTCGGCTTTCTCATCAAGATTGATAATCTTCAAATTCTTGTGGTATCCCCGATTCTCTAGGTTATCAACTTTTAACAGCAGCTCGTTTTCTGCATGGTAGTTAGCTGGATATTGTGGTGGTCGCTGTTATAATGTTAATGTTAAAAGTAAAGTTGTTTGGCATTTACCGCTAGGGGGTGCTCCTGTGCCTTAAAGAGAATGGGTGTGTGCTTCTTCTATGGTAGAGAGGAACGCCTGAGTTTTCTAGTATAGAGCATGTGCTTTCTGGCTCTGCACAGCCCGTTTGATTTTGCTAGGATTATTTATAGATAAAAGAGTTTCTCGGATTTCCTTGTTTCATTTGTGGTTTATTTATTCATAAGTTACCACAGTCGCAGTTATCCTCCATGCAGGAAATTCTGCTCTTGGCTTCCTCTATGCACGTCTCTACATCGGTCACTTGGTTTTGTAGATTTGAGAAGGAGTTTTCCAATGAGGAAACCGAAGTTTTTATGTCGTTTAGGGAGCCGTCTATGCTGTCTAGACGAGTAGCAACAGATTCTTCCATGCAGCTTAGACGACTAGCCACAGACTTGACTTCCGACAAAATTTGCTCCAAGGTTGCTAGGCTAGTTGTCTGCGCTGAATTATCCTCGGTAGCTTGGATCTCATTAACTACTTGCGGCGTTGTAATTTTCTTCCCAGATTGGGAGCGGGTTGATGAGAAAAGTGGAAAATGCTTGTCTCTTTGTGAACATATTAGACATATTACTAACACGTTTTAAGTGACAATGCCTAAGCAATTTGAAGAAAAGTTCAAGTTTGGTTAATGCCCTGAGCGGAGCAAACCTTCAAGTGTCTTGCTCCGGGTCACGTGACCTCTCAAAGTAGAGATCTTTTATGGGTTCCATTGAAATAAAGGTAGCGGATTATGAGAAATACCTCGGTGTGTATGTTGACACTTCCATGTGCCACTCTCACCAGTGTGGGGAAGCAATTAAAAAGGCCAATAGGATGTTGGGTTACATCTCTAGGTGTGTGGAGTTTAAGTCAAAGGAGGTGATGCTAAGATATTACAATTCCGTGGTAAGACCCCACCTAGAATATTGTGTTGTTACAAGTACTTACTTCAATATTAGCTTGAATACATGAACTCGTAGCCATAGGTGGAAATTAGCGGGAGAACATTTAAAAATTGATTTGAAAAAGCAAATATTTACACAGCGTGTACTTAGAGTATGGAAAAGTATTCCTATTAGTGTAGTGCAAGCTAAAACCTTGGGTTCCCTTAAATCAGAGCTAGATAAGATTTTAAGAACTCTGAGCTATTAGTTGAGTTCTCCCCAAAGAAGCTTGATAGGCAGAATGGCCTCTTTTCATTTGTAAATTTATGTTCTTTCTTATGTTCTTAATTTGGTTTTATTGTCTTCTTTTCTTCCCTTTTTTTGTTTTTTACTATTGGCCAACTATGTGAGGCAATAAGTAACACAAGCAGGTGCAAGTCCAATAAAATTAAAAATTAAAATTTTACTGCTGTAAATAAAATCTTTCAATGCAGTAAATCCCTTAAGGTTTTTTCTTAACTAAGAAAACATTTTAAAGGATTCTTTGTTCTTTGTAACACCCTTAAATAAATCACTCTACTAAGTATAAGTTAAACCTTAAGTGTTACACTTAAGGGAAAAATTGAAGTGCTTTGTGCAACCGGCTCCACGCCCTGAGTTCTCTATCATTTTTACTGTTTGAAAGGGGCCAGAAGGAGAATCTATCAGAGGGCCCCCTGGTCCTGAGGGTCCACCAGGGGCACCTGGAATCGGCCATAATGGGCCACCTGGATATCCTGGGCCTCCAGGTCTCCCCGGACCACCAGGATCCCTGTCATTGCCAGGGGCTTACAGACCTATACATGGTGAGTCATTTATTTGGCCCAAAGCATTTGTTCTTCAGAAGCCAGTTATCCAAACACACACACACACACACACACACACACACACACACGCACACAGAGTCGTGTAATCACATCTTTTTGGGGACAGCTCACTTATTTCTATGGGAAAAATGCTAATGCTAACTATGACAACCTTAACCGCTACCCAGCCCTAACCATAACCATAAGTAACCAAACAAAATGCAAGAGTTTTTGCATTTTTAGTGTTTTCATTGCAGTCACAGATTTTTATAAAATAGAGTTTTCCCATATCGGGACCAAGAAACGGCCCTAATTTTAACCATGAAATTCAGTCCGCAAAATGTCTTAATAACAGGTTCTTGTCACATTGTTGGGACCAAATATCCCCACAATATATGTACATAACCCCTAGACACACATGTGGGTGTATATGCATGCATACACACGCACACACACACCATACACACATACTGTATATTTCATATGTGTGTGTGTGTATATATATATATATATATATATATATATATATATATATATATATATATATATATATATATATAGCATCCATTCATCCATCTATACATCTTCTAACGGCTTATTGCATATGCAGAGTTAAGGCGAGATTTAAACCCACAAACCAAGAGCTGTGGCAGGAAGTTTAAGTTTGGCTGCCCCTTCTGTGTTTTCAATATCCTAGGGCAACCTGGGCCCCCAGGCCCCCCTGGTCCCCCTGGACGTCCTGGAGTACCCTCTGGGGTAAGTGCTGTCAGGGTCAGCACCCGTCTGTCCAAGTCTTTAGTGTCTTCTCCCTGTTTGGCCAGCAGGTGTCGCTGACCATCCTGTCCTCCCTGTTGTCAAAGTCCTTTGTGTGTTTCCCCTGCATGGCTCAGTGAGCTGAGTGTGTGGCCACTCCCTCCTCTGTTGTGCGTTCAAGTCCTGCCTCCACTGTTTTTTTGTAGATTTTGTTTTCTAGTGTTTCATTTGCATCAGTTTTTCTAGTTCCTGTGTTTGGTTTTTGTTTTTTTGCTTTGTGTCCGTGGTTGTGTTTTACCTGTCTTTGTTATTCCCCTTATGATAGATTCTATTTCCTAGTTTGAGTTTCATGGTTTAGTTTTATTAGAATCACCTGTTGCCTGTTTTCCCAGCTCTTGTTAATTGTTTTCACGTATCCTGCGTTATTCTTGTTCCTGCCTTAGTTCAGTTCCCCAGTGGGTCATTGTTGGATGTCTTGTTATCTCATTTAGGTGTTTCAGAGTCTTACCCTGTGTTGTATTATTTGTACTTTGCCTGCCTCTTCGCTCCTTGTTGCCCTGACCCATTTGTAGTTAGTCTTTGCTTTTCCCTATTTTGCTTTTTGACCCCTCGTGGTCTGTTTGTTTGTTTACTAGTGTTCCCAGTGTTTTCAGTTCTGTTAATAAACCCTGTTCGTCCTGTGAGCCGCCTGCACGATGCCTTGCCCCCGTGCCAGAACCTCCTGAGTCCATGACAAGTGCTGACTGGCACTATTGGATGAAGGGGATTACTAGTTATTGTATATGGTTTAAATTTTAAGATGTACTGTAATGTATTTTTATGCTGTGTGAATTTTATTAGTATGACCTTTGGAATCCTTTTGTTGACACCACAGGTGACTGTGATGAGGTCATATGATGCAATGGTGTCATCTGCACAGCAGCGTCCAGAGGGAACACTTGTATACCTTATGGATCAGACTGACCTCTATGTTCGAGTCGGGGCCGGCTTCCGCCAAGTCATGGTAGAACATGAAAAAGGCTTCTGGTCCATTCCATGAATTAAGATGAATGGACTGCACACAGGAAATGGGGAATTACAGGGCATTTTCCTATCTAGACAATGTGGATTTACAGCTCTACCTCACTGTTGTGCATACTCCATACAGTGAGACTCTCTCAGTCTGCAGTGCAGATATCATTTAATACTGTTTTATGATTTGAATATTTGACCAGACCTCTGTCTAACCTCCAAAACTCCCTCTTGTCTACTTCCAGCTGGGCGAGTACAGGCCAATCTACAGAGACCAGGTGAGTAATATTCGGTGTCATCTCTGATATCCTTGTGACACTGTGCTAATCTCACTATTGATCTATACTGCTATGCAGGACAATGACCTGGCAGCAACCCAGACCACCACAGATGTTCAGTCCTCTCCAGGACGCTCTACCCACACAGCTGTGGAGTCCACACAGCCGGACAGTTGGAAGCCTGATTCCAGATACCACCCGGGGCTGCCTGACAACCATTATCACGTCCCACTAGACCCCCGCTATGCAGTCTGGCCTGACAGTTGGTACCCCAGCACACCTCAGCGGTATCCCAGTCATCCAATATCTCAGCCTGTCCCGAGTCACGCCCATATGTCAGGACCGGGGGTAAGAGTAAGATGTCAGTTATGGGGAGCTGTCTTTTCTGCTTAGCTGTCTGTATCAAGTGCTTTTGTATGTCCAGGGATGCTTTTAGGCACTTTCACACCGAAGTTCTGGGACATGGTCCTGGTTTACAAGCTCAAAAGCTGTCTTGACCTGGAACTTTTGAAACTCTTGGCTAGTTTCGTGTGTCACCTTCACACCAGACAACAGGAACTGAGACCTTTACGCTAAATAAGCATGTGAGATGCAAAAAGCTCATAGGTGAAATTTCACTCATAATTTCATACAAAACCACACCACCACACCAAAACAATGACAGGATAAATAAGTAATTTTGTTAGTTATTGGGGGGATTGATCATGATCAAAATGGGACGTGGCCTTTATTATAGTTTACGTATACAACCTGTGACACATTTGGTTCTTATTAAATCTGACCAGCACACTGAGTTTTCTTTTTCCACTGAATAAAAAAATGATTTAACGTAATCCTAATAAGCACTGGCAAGTTTCACCGCCAGCACCGGTGTATAATGGTTATCAGTCCAATTCTCCAGAATATTCAGAATGCAGAAATATTGAGACTTAAGCCAAAAATATATTAATTGATGCATTTAATGTAATTGAAGTACAAAAGTAATTCCATCTGCTCAAGTTCTGCTCCGCTACTTCTGTCTTTTTTTCTGCACTTCTGCATAACTTCCAAGTTAGCTGTGGTGCTTGTGGTCAACCGATCAGTAAGCTATCACTGTAAGTGCCTCCCCAGTAGTTCGCGTTCAAACAAAAGTACCTAGTCTGGAGTAGGTACTCAAAAGGGTTCAGAAACAGCTTCCGAGGAACTACAATTAGGTTGATTTACTGTGGTGTGAACACAACAAAAGTCCCTGGTTCTGGAAAAAGGTTGTGGTCCCTGAAAGAAGTTCCTGCGGTGTGAATGCACTTTCTGTGAAATGAACCAAATGCAGATGCCAAGTAACATACTCAAGTGTAACTGAAAATGGACTGTTTTTAAATTAATTGTTGTTTTAAAGATTTTCATAAAGACATGTGGTGGCTCTGTTCCCCAGCTACACTTGGTCGCCCTCAATGCGCCACAAAGGGGCAACATGCATGGCATCAGGGGGATTGATCTCCTGTGCTTCCAGCAAGCCCAGGCTGCAGGGCTCCAGGGAACCTTCCGGGCCTTCTTGTCGTCTAGGCTTCAGGACATCCACAGTATTGTGCGCAAGTCTGACAGGGACAGTCTGGCCATAATCAACATCAAGGTGTGTTTGCATTGCTCCCGCACTAGTGCATCCAACCTCAGACTTTCAGAATGCTCAAAGCATGGGGTTTTGAACCTACCTCTGCATCTGCTGATTCTGAAATCATGTTACCTAGCTTGGGGGTCAAATAGTTGAAATCCAAAGGACCATCACTGAGACTCAACCCTAAACCAAATGCACTTTTGTTGCTGCTTAATTTTGAATTTGGCACCTTTTGGCTTAAAACTGTCCTGTACCTCCTTGACGTTTTAAGCTTCTCTGTGCTTTTCAGTGTCAGGATTTTATTGACTTGATACTTTCTAGGACCAAGTACTGTTTGACAGCTGGGAATCTCTCTTTGGCGACTCTGAGTCAAAGGTGAAAGACGGTGTGCCCATTTACTCCTTTGACGGTCGGGACATCCTCAGGGACTCGGCTTGGTAAGTCACTCTGAGCCCTTACACATATATGCTGCAATATACTGTCGATTTGTGAACTGAGGAAGCTTTGCATGACCACCATTTCCTGATTGGTCACCAAGGCCCAACAAGATGGTGTGGCATGGCTCAAATGCTCAGGGCCAGCGGCAGGAAGACAGCTACTGTGACTCCTGGAGGACGGATGCCCAGGAGGCCGTGGGCATGGCTTCGTCTCTGTTGGTGGGGGAGCTTCTCCAGCAGGTCCCCACCAGCTGCTCTAGCTCTTATTTAGTGCTGTGCATGGAGAACAGCTATGTGCCGCAGGCTAAGAGATAGACAAGGGGCCTCGCTCACTTGGTACTTTCAGTATAACCTACATACAACACTCCACGAAAAGGAGGAGTGTCCCTTTAAGACGGTATTGTGCCCCTTTTAGAAAGTATGTGCCTCATGGCATGCAGAATAGCTTCCTCCCCATCTATAAAGCCAAAAAATGTCATCATAATTGCCAGATTTAACCAACCGCATTCATTTAACCAATCTTTTGTAAGTTAATCCCACCATGAACTGTGGAATATTGACTGTTGCAACCTTTCAGATATTTTTATTTCAATTCAAATATTTTTCCATTTTCATTTTTTTTTTTTCCAAGTTTGAGATAAGTTTCCAAATGAAGGATTATCTTGTCCGACTACACAGGAGTGTTGTTACACGATAAAAATGTAGCAATTCAAAGACATGACAGAACAATGTTCTGATCAGACACGGTGAGGATAACATATTTAACTTAATATTAAGAAATATTACATTAAAACAAAAAGTTTGACACATCTTTAATTTTAACGTATATGCATGATTTACAATGTGATGTCAGATGCTGACAGACCCAGGGCATTTTAACCTCCCACTCCATCTGCTGTTGGGGAGGCACTGGTTTAATGGCATCTGGAGATCAGCACTAAGTGGGTATGAGCCCCCCCACCACTAACTGAGCATAGTGCTAATGGCAGCTGAACACCAGGACGGGCCGTGGGTCAAGCCTCGGCTGGATTTACAATACGTTTTACTCAAAGAGCTTATGACTGTGGGGGCCTCCTTGACTGAAATTCTGATTAATTCAGGGTTACTCATGTGTTACTGATCCGGTCAGAACTTGTGGATCGCTATTACTTTTACATGTACTGAGTTTACAAGGCACAGAATAAATTTGCTTTTAAAGTTACTGGGGTTGTGATTTTAAAGAGGTGCAGAAGATGACTTTACTGCTTGTGCATTTCTCCCTCTTTCAATAAAGAATGACCATAGCTGTGTAGAAAACAGGCACTTTTACTGCCACCGTGTTAAGTACTAGTGGTGCAATGGATCAAAAAACTCACGGTTCGGATCATGGTTTTAAGTCACGGATCGGATCAATTTTCGGATCAGCAAAAAAAGAAAAGACAAGACAAATTTAACTCTCCATTTATTTATTTAAGTATTTTTTGCCCATTAAAAAACATTCAACTCAAGACTCATTCCATGCAATTATATAAAAACAAATTAAGGTGCAATATACAGTAGGCCATGATAATTATTTCCTTTAATGTGAACACAATCAAAAACAACTTAAAATGCAGTTTAAAGTATCATTGCTTCTTACTTTGAACATGGAGAATGAAACAAAAACTAGCTTATGTCCACATCATCAAAAAAGAAGAAAGAAAGCAAAGCAGACGTGAGCTTGTAACAGCTATAAACACCCCAATAGCTTTTGTAATAGCTTTAGCCCGGTCGGATTGGGCAGCAAAGAGCTGCTTAAATGCCGCGGATATCAGCGGTTGTTGCGCAGTCTTTGTCTTAGCTCCTGTCACACAAGGGTGATGTCGTTTCAAATGAGCAGCCATGCCCGATGTGTTGCCAGTCTCAAAGGGCTTCCTCGTGCCACACTGTCGACAAACTGTGGTGGTTTTATCCACCACCCTTTTCCCATCAATATATTTAACGGGGAAGCCAAAATGCTCCCACACATGAGATTTAAGTGATGCTGGAGGTTTCTCGAGCTCCTCTGCTCCTCCACTTGGACCGCTACCGCTGGCCATGACCATCGCTTGACAGACTGACCACACGCACCATACGGTGGAACTTTTTTCCCCCGAATCTTCGGATCACGTGCGTGCCGAACCATGGAGGGGGATCGGTTCGGATCAAGGATCAACAGTGATCCGTTGCACCACTATTAAGTATAGATTCACAATTAAGGTGGAAGTGTGTATGGATGAAGCAGTGTTCATATATTGCAGCCATCTGTCACAGACTGCATCTCATAGCAGTGACATACTCACTAAATCCAAGAGCAGAGGCTCTCTGTTTACAACATTTCTGTGTTTGGTAATCTGAAATAGACTCCTGAAGTTCTGATTTACTGGAAAAAATATATTTTATTTGTCACACCAAATTATAAAAAAAACAGCAGAAGTGGTTCGTTATTTATGAGTGCAGAAACATTTTAAAACCATAAAATTGAGAAAGCTCTCTGTCAGCGTACCCAGCAGCTTTCCAATTGCTCACACAGTAATATATACCTTTCTGCTGATAGCACGATCACACTATAGTGGGCACCTCAGTACAGGTGTCCACTGTCCTTTGACACTTGCTGTATCATCAGGGCTGAGCAAGTCAGAACCAAACACCGTCTCTAAGAATACTTCTAATCGCTCATTTCTGGTGACCTACAGTAGTACAGGTTCAGCCAGCAGCTTGAATATTAGCAGAAATGTCCCTCCAATGGCTCATAACATATATTCAACTAATGTGTACTATTAGCAACAGCTGTCAAATGAAATGGATAAGCATGATGACCTAGAATTTGGCCAAAGATTCCAGTTTGCGCATCAGGGTTGTCACTGTACATGGTCCTTGGTACATGGTGCTGAGTATCACGGTTTGTGAAATTCTCTCGGCCGATGCAAGCAAGGTGAACTGTACTGCCAGCTCCAAGTATTCACAAGGTAAAACATACTACAATAAAATAACATTCAAAATGTCACTTTCATTACTGATTTTAATCCCCACACATCAAAAGCATAGATGTTGCATTATAAACCTAATCTGATTTCATTTTTATAACTAAGTAACAGGAGGAGACACAACACTCCTTAACACTTTTATACTACACTATCTAGTTATTTCAACCTGTCAGCTGAACACTTTGTACTACTCTTAGATTATGTTTCTGTTGACAAGAGCAGTGCTTTTTACAGGTTATTCAAGGATTAACCTTAAAAACTTATCAGCGATATCCTGTGGGCAATAGTACTCTTAAGGCAATTGAGATCACTATCCACTGGATCCCCAGGCGTCTCGGTTCTTCGGCACACTGGGCAGTGGATCTTAGTCTATGGCAATGGTCTCCATGGGGGTCAGCTCAGTGGGCATGGCCTCAGCAGTGGCCCTGCCCTCTCTCCACTCACATTTGTGTTTGGCAATGACCCAGGCAGCACAGGTCAAGTAGACCAAGGTGAGTAGGGCGAAGTAAAAAAAATAAACCATGAACTGCAAACAAGAAGGAGACCATTAGAATGTTTTAATCATGATTTTCTGTGTGGAGAAGATGTAATAGCTAAATTTTCCACTTTTGAGCAAGTTAACAAGCATCTCATCACTGTTACCAAGAGAGGGGGTAGTGGCCATACCTGGGGATGAACAGCCAGTCCAAGCCCCCGCTTGTCCACCACGATGATGGTGATGATGGTCTTCAAGATGGTTCCCAGAAAGGTGTTCACTCCAAACACTAGGGCACACAGCTCTTTGGAGAGAGCTGAGGCGATTTGGAAGCTGCAGAGACAGTGAGAGGCTTACAAGCCTGGGAACCATATGGCCAGAAGGTTGCTGGTTCATATCCTATGGCTTCTAATTATTTCACTGTGGGCCCTTGAGCAAGCCTCCAAAAAAAAACTGTTCCAGGGCACCATAAAATCACCTGACCCTGCGCTCTGACCCCAAGCTCACCTGTACGTGTATGTGTCTCATAGGAGAGAATTCTGGGATATGTAGAAACCAAAGGATTCCCATGTCCATCTATGTTTATGAATGGCAAAAAACAGTATCATTATAAGTGGGAAAACAGCAGGTCTGAACCAGCAGCCTCTGGGTCACAGGTCGGATCCCATGCCCACTAAACCCAATTACCCGAGCCCTGCGTGACCCCCACTCACATAGCAATGGGCACCAGGAACTGGTAGAAGCCCCTGAAGAGTGTGTAGGCAATGTAGCAGGCCCAAATACTGTCTGTAGTGCCCATAAGAAACAGCAGGCTGGCCTGCAAGGCCGTGATGATGCCAATCACCAGCTCCGACCACAGGCTCCATCGGATCTTCACAAAACTGGCCACAAAGGATGTCATGGCCCCTAGGTGATAGGGCGAGCCCAGAAAGTTTGCATTTTAGCCTCTTTGTATGGTTAACAAAAACATCAGCAAACAGCTTGAAAAGAGATGGACAGGCTGCTCTAACGATGAGATCAGGCTATTAAATACACTTCCCAGTTACTTTTAAAATATATTTACCCACAATGGCCAATTATCGCCATTGTCTTCCTTAATACTACAGACCCAAACCATTACAGGAGAGGTGAAGACTGGAACAGAATGTTCCCTGCGGACTGTGGGTTTCATCTGACATTTCTCAGAATGGCTGTCATGCTAGAGGTAGCTATCCCTGATCAATATCCTTATGTAAATCAGCCACTCTCTGGACTACCTTTCAATAAAAATACTAGCTAATGGCTTTTTCAGAATCCACTCAGATCGTTGCCCAGCAGCACACAGCACCCACCAAGCAGGGTAGAGGCTGCCTCCACCGCACCATTGTAGACTTTCGTGTTCTCAGTAGCCGGGTACACCTTGTTCCACAGGACATGTGCGTAAAACAGCACCAGGTAATACCCAGTAGAATTGAAGATCCACCAGAGGCACCAGAGTCGCAGGCCTGGCACCCTGACCACATTACGGAGCTCCTTCAGCATCTGGAAGAGCATGGAGCTCCTGAAGCATGACAGCGGGGAGCAGGCGGAGGCAGGAGCAGGGCTGCCGGGATTCACTGGGGCCAGCTTTGGCCTGGCTTCGCACTTTGCCATGTTGAAGTACATGCTGCGATGAGGCCAGGGGAGGGAGACAGCCAGAAGCAGGCTGAAGCTGACAAAGGCCAGGGAAATGGAACTTAGTGTCCGGAAGGACAGGCCGGCCAGAGATACACATAGCTGGCCCAGCACTGAGCTGGAAAAGACACCAAGCAGGACCGCAGAGCGCGAGTACCCCGCCACCCGCTGGTACAACTCAGAAGGCACCAGTGAGAAGATGTAGGAGGAGTAGGCTACACGCGCCGCCATGGTGATGCCGTAGAAGAACTCCATCAACTGCATCTGCAGCAGGGTGGTGCCCAGAAGCAGCAGTAGCCAGATGGAAATGTGACTCAGACTCTGCAGGACCAGAACCGGCTTGTAGCGCAGGAAGTCTGTCAACAGGAAGACTGGAACCAAAACTGCCATATAGGAGTAGGACAGCACCGGGTTGATCTCATTGGTCACCTGCAGGTGGGAAAAGGACCTCTTAAGTCGCCTCAATGTTACTCATTTCTGTTTGAAAAGAACCTCCCAGGCCACCAGTTCAAGGTACAGCTCAGTTTCTGGTTTAGATTTTGGTTTGGTTTTGGCATGATAGCATGGAAATAATTTAGTTATGAGTGGCATGATACATGTTAGCCAAAGTAGCATAAATTATATTTTAATGTTTTAAAATGACCTCCTGTTTATTGTGGGCATATTGCAGTACAGCAGAGACATACTGCTATTTCACTGGTTCTGTCAAATGCTTTTTTTCTAGCATGATCAACTCTATCAGGCTTTAATATCATCACTAGTCTCCTGGGGGAGAGAATGTCAACTGTGCCCCAATAAAGCAGGTTCTAATCTCTTAGATGGAAGCCAGGAGGGAGAAAACACTGTTATAACAAATAATCTGGTTCTTAAAAATTCCCTTGTAAACTTGGACCAGCTGATGCTTATTTTATCTACCCATCTTCCAATATCTTATCCTGGTCAGGGCTTGGAGCCTGTCCCAGGCACCAGGCTGGGGTACACCCTGGACAAACACACAATCACATAGTATGGGCAAAGACAAACTTTTACTTATTGTGCTGATGATAGTTAAAACACGTAATGCAAGTTTCCCATGAAGACTGTACTAAACTCCCAGGGTGCATCTGGACAAGATTCTCATCACACCAGATCAGGTGACTTGGGCTTCTTTATGGCACCCCCTAAACCTCATATCCCATATCCTGCTTGGGGATGTTCCTGTCTTTCACTGAGGGATCAATCCACCTCCCAGAATTGACAGACTAGGTACAACAATAACCTGCTCCTGGGTGAAGTTCTTTTCAGGGCTGAGCAGGTAGGGCGTAATGAAGGGCTCCCCAGGCTTTAGTTGCACCATGAAGCCGTAAAAGCAGAGCAGAGCCACTGGCCACCTCCATCGCTGTGACTCTTGGGTTTTGGGGAGTAGGCCGCCCTCCTGGCCAGATACCAGCTCCACCATGATGCTCACTGCCACGGCCTTTCAACAGGGTCCCTCAGTGGGGGGTGTTCCGTTCTTCGTCTGCCTAGGTTTCCAGATGAGAACTAGCAATTATTTGTGAGAACTTCACCAACAGGCTTGCTTCCCCTGGCTCCTTTGCTTGTGGGTCATTGTCATAATTGTGGTATGGTTTGGTTATGGTGGTATTTTGCTTCTGTTAAACTATGAGTGGTATCAAAACAACAGGGGAGTGCAACAGGAAGCCATTGTGGCATGCTTACCCTCACACTGCCTCATGCACTTTGACACAAGCTGATGCAGATCTCCACCTGTGAAAGACAAGAAAACATACGAAGTAATACGTCACCCCTCATAAAGGCTGTCTAAAATGAACATCTGCTATGCCATGTAAATACAAGCATTTAAAATTAATTTTAACCCAATATGCATTTTGCTTTACAGGAAAAACAAATGAACACAATGTACAGCAGTGGTCTCCAACCTTTTTTACAGCAGTGTGAGCTATACTTTTACAAAGCAAAAGTGGCGTATCCAGGAATATCTGGACAAACTAAAACACCCGTGAAACCTGCTGCTTGGTGGAGGTGACTGGTTAGATCTTCTATCCCGACTTGCAAACACCCACAGTTGTCAAAATACAGCTATTAGATGGAGGTTTTCAGAAACCTGCCTGACCACCCCCCCCCCAATAACTACCTAATAACTTACAAAATGACTTGTTCATCCTATTTGTTTTGTTTAAAATTATGTGTTAAGTTTAACACACAACCCTTTGCGTCTTCCATGCTTATTTGCCAGAAGCTACAAAAGTTGCAGGTGGAGACAGGCCAGGAACATGTTTTTCAACGCAGCAGGACAGAGAATTAGTCTGGCAAGATATGAAGAATTCAAAACTACACCAACGGTGACCAGTAACACCGTGTAGTGATGGGAAGTTCGACTCAATTAACTGATTCAATTCTTTCGAACTGTCCGTTGTAATGAATCGATTCTATGATTCACTTTTTAACAAGGTTATGTTATTTGACTGAAAGATGGCGCTAGTGTTCAACAAAAATGTTCAGCTTGACTATTCACAATAAAAAAAACAATATATAAAAAGCAGAAAGGGTGTTGATGCTGAATAAACACACTTGTATATATAGTTCTTATTTTCTTTACTTAAGCCAAATTCATGTGCATGAGTATCAAGGACTACATCACAGTTAAGAACAACTGCAATATTACCAATACAATCACACATACACATACAATGAGCATGAGTAAACTTGCATACGTTGTTGTGTAAACGTCAGTTAATAAACATCTTTGTTTTTTGATGAAAGACATATACTTTTATTATACAGAAATGCAATAATTTACTGTAATGATTTTAAGGAAAAGTAATAAAGATGTCCCAATGTTCTTGGTTGATCATGTGAATACAGACAGTGTTAGCTATTAATGATCAAGGGGGAATGATCAAAGGGGAAGCCAGGGAGAGAATGGGGGTTCCAGTCGGCACCACTAGGGTGATAAGGAAGATGACTGAATTACAATGATCAGAAAGTCTCCATCCTGTCCTGCCCCATCCATGCCCCAGGCTCCACAAAGTCCAGGGGGTCACTCTTTATATGTAAATTCACTCACAACACCTACACACAGCACCTTGGCAGGGAGGGTCTTTTGGGGTATAAAGGGGGGTGAAGAACTGCCCTTAATTTGTATTTGAGCTGCCTTTCAGTACCTGGTGTATGTCTACACTGTATTACATTATATTATTTTTACTGTTCAATAAACCACCATTTTGCTGAAACTGCGGAGACTCTGCAAGTGGATTCCTCACAGTGATAAATGATGAACAGCTGCATTTATTTTTCTCCTTTTAACAGCGTAACTGATTTCCACAGTAAACGCCGCGGGGGTTCTTGGGATCGATTCACCAAGTCACTGAGTGTCAGAAAACCGCAAGTGCGATTCGTTCTTCTAACGGGTTCTCTGGGAGTTGCTGAGACCGTATATCAATAGACTAATACAGCAACAGAGTCTCACGACAAATCAGGCGCTTGGTCGTTCTCGGAACACATCAGGACATGAAGGAAGACTATGACTTAGTGCAGTGGTTCCCAAAGTAGGGGTCGCGACCCTCTGGGGGGTCGTGAGACATTGAGGGGGGGGTCGCGAGATGATTTCCAAGAAATCAAATAATTTTTTTTTAACTATTAGAAATAACATTTTATCAACATTTTAACATTTTATATTAACATTTTATCCATAACTAACAAAAGATAAAAACTATTAGTTAATAGTTACATTTAAAAAAAACATGCAAATTAAAAAGCCATCAGCCTTTCAAATTTCTTTCCGTTTGATCGAGACCCCTGATTACGACAGTTTAACGACACATCAATAGCGTCAGCTGCAGCAGAATTTACAGCACCATGTTAAACATTCCGACATGTGTACGTAACGTGTAGGTAATTTTCATCGCTTTATGCTTAGGGTATTATTTTTGTTGAAATGAAACGAATGAGTAAATCATTTTTAAAAAAGTTATATGGTTGTTAGAGCGTTGTGTTCTTTTGTGTTGTCATGCTCTTGTTTGGATAGGATATTTTGTTGAAATTAAACAAATGAGTAAATTACTATTAAAAAAAATTATATGGTTGTGTTCTTTTGTGTTGTCATGCTCATGTTTGGATAGGCCTACTGGCACATGTGCACCGTTGCGAGCAACATTTGTATATTTTAACCACTTCCGAGGATAGTAGGGGTCACGAGTCACTGGCACAGTTATTTTGGGGGTCGTGAGCAGATGTGGAAAAGCACCCAAATAATAAAGACGAAAAGTTTTCACTGCATTAATCCACATTTCTGCAGAAAAAACATGTAAATAAATTTGAAAGCATTCAAATTCAAAAGTGTTTTATTTGTCACTATATATTATTGTTTAGTATTACTTTATTATGTTAATATAAGAATATAGGCCTATACTTGTGATAATTTGTTTTTAAAATATTTGCAAGCATGTTTTGCGCGAGTATAAGTGACTGAACCACAGGAATAATAATAATAATAATAATAGCACAAATAAAATAATTACAGGACATATGCCTTGTTTAAGTATTATCTGTTTTTACATTGTTGATTGCATTCATTGTATTACTGCTGTCATAAATCGGCAATAGATTATTTTACCCTATTCATCAGCATAGCAGCATTTCCGCAGTGAACGCCGCAATGGCTCTTAGGATCAATTCGCAAACCATTCGTTTTAGTCACCGACCGAGTGTCTGAAAATCGTAAGTTCGATTCGTTCATCGAACAGATTCTCGGGTTTTTTGGAGTCACCGAGTTAGAGACCGTATCTCCCTTTACTTATACAGCAACCGTGTCTCACGACGACCAGGTACTCGGCCATTCGGGTGTTCTCGGCACCAGAAGGAAGTCTACGAACGCAAAAGTGACAAATGTAAGTGACGAACAAAAGAATGAACGTATAAGTGATATACTTAGTCTTTTTTGTCATATTCATAATCCCTTTATATTGTTCAATATTAAATACATTTTACATAAACATTGTTTATGCTGTGCAAATGAAAGTTCTTAACTATTATTTTGGTGTGATTTTTTTTTTTTTTAGAAAATGCTGTACATATATCACAGCCCCTTGATAAGCAATATGGGTACACAAGATTGATATACA